TATTTTGATTAGTGTTGGTTTAAAAAAAATATGGTGTTGCTGTAGAGAAAATTATGATTCTGGCACAAAGCATTGCAAATTGTTTACAAATTAAGAACTTTTATTATGTGACAATAAAAAACATTTAGGAACAAAGCAAATAAAAAAAAATTAAGTTAAAGGTTAGAAAACTAGAAATAAAAAATAAGCAGAAAAATAAAGTAAGAAAGGTGAAGGTGGCAAATAGGGCTGATAAGGGGTAAAGAGTAATAAGGAATTAAATAAATTTTATTTTAAAAATGTATATTTTTCATTTGTTTTACTTGTCAGGATTCTTTAACTGGCATCATATGCAAGTTAGAAACTTATCCCTTTTGAGCTGCAGATGGAGAAAATAGTTTTAAATTAATTATAATTATTTTTTTTTGTTTATATGCTAATTGTGGCTACTACAAATCTATATTTCATAACATCCTCTCATGTCAAGTTGTTGTTTCTCCCTAGCGGATATGTACACTCCTGAAAGCGATGAACCCGAGCCTGAATGGGTGAACACCGAGCGTCAGCAGTTTAAAGATCACCGTGACTTGAACAAAGATGGGAAATTGGACCACTCTGAGATCAGTCATTGGATCCATCCACATGAATACGATCACGCTGACTTGGAGGCCAAACATCTCGTCTATGAGTCTGATAAAGACAAGGTAAGATACCTAATGGAACATAGAAAGTCAAAATGGCTTTCTTGAGGTTTCCATTTTGATTGAGATATAGATAGACAGGAAATGGAGGATCTCAAAACAGATATCCAGCCAACTAGCATCATATTTATTAGATCATTAAAAGAAATAAGTAAACCAGCTTTTGCTGCAATATTCAGTTTTGGTCCAAAGACTTCCCCTGAAGTACTTTTGCCCGTCATTAGATGTACGCAGTCTGATGCACAGCATCATTCAAGCCCATTTCCTTTGAGCCCAGGCCATCCTGTCCCAATCCCGTCCCAGCCTATGACTACACAGTGAAAGGAGAAGCGGCACAATAATTAATCACTTGAGTGCTAACCTGTATATACCACTTCCTTACTAAGCCACATTTTAACTACTGTATTAGTGCTGTAATAGTTTATAAGGTGTGTGTGTGTGTGTGTGTGTACTTTTGAAAAGAAACTCTCTCTTCTTAACTTAGTTATATAACATATCCAATAAAATGCCAGGACTGTACTCCTTTTTGGGGAGTTTTAATCATCCTTCCTTCAACCTCCACACGCCTACTGTCATTTTCTCACTGCAATGGTAGTAAGGTGGTTAAAGCGGACCCATATCTTTAAAATAACAACAAACGCCTTTTAGAAGTGTTTAGTAATGACAATCTTCAAACACATACTTCTAGATAATTGCCGGCTTTTTATTCTTTGCATTCCTTATTTCTCTTCTTTTCTTCTCCAGTCTTCTGACAGTGGCCATTTTTGCTAAGGGCAGATTACTAGATCTCTGTTTACTTCCTGGAACTCTGGCACATGTGACTAGAACATGCACATAATCTCAGTGGAGGAAAATGCTCTTTCCTGAGATTTCCAGAGATTACAAATGAGATTTCCTAGCAATGCTTTGCCGATGTAACCTTCCCAGGATGCAACACTTTGGCACATTACATCATTTGTACCAGACGTGGACCAGGAAGTAGATGAACTCTTATCTGTAGGTAAATTAAAAACATGTTTGTTTAACTAATGAGTGTAAGATGATTTTATATCAGCATGCAAAGCTGCATGCTGATGTAATTTCTTTTTTTTTTAGTGAAAGGGGATAAAGGTCCTCTTTACCTGCTCTATCCCCAAGCTTATTGCCAGCTCCCAACAAAAAACACTCGCCTAGCCATCTATGGCGACAGTGCTTGAGTCTGACCTGGAATAGTGGTGAGGTCAAAGTAATATCAAACCTTCTAGTGATTCTAGGTGATGAAGAAAGGATTACCCTTATTGCTTCTGGACTAGTTTTTCCATTTTCCACATCATGCTAAAATACACTTCTTTATCATGAAGATTACATAAAACCCCCAAAACAGACCAGCAGTCACTGATCTGCTGTTTTCATAGCCACCGTTTTGGCAAAACCAGAAGTGCTCTGAGCAAAGTACTGAGGAGAGATTGAGGAACGAGCTTTGGCTGGGAAATCGGAGGTACGTTTGGTCAATAACGTGCTTATCTCATATTTGCACTCTGCAGTAGCAACAAATTAGATTCATAATATGGTAAGTTACAACACTGACATGATCAACTGGTCATACTGAGACAGGAAGGAGTTGGTCCTACAAGACTTTGTATCATCACCATTGCACAGCATCTCTACATACCGTGTTTCCGTATTTTTTTTTTTTTTTTTGGCTCAAAAAAACCCACTAGGTCTTATTTTCAGTGTAGGTCTTATTTTCTTTTTTTTAATGTACAACAATCCACACTTATTCATGTGCAAACATATGGTGATCAGGGCAACCAGGGGTACCGTACTTTTCCAAGAGCAATTTGCTAACCAATCGCTTGCCAGAATGAGCAAAGCGCACTTTCACTATCGATTCCTCACAGGCGGTTTGCATTTGGTATCACTCCGCCTGTGACAAGAGCCGGCCCTATAGAGGAAGCATCGGCTTATGCAGCTCTGCTCCCTCCGCTGCCACCTCACTTCCTCTAGCGCTGGCTTCGTTGGCACCGCTGATTCTCTCCCGTGGCTCTTCAAGTTCCCCCTTATGCCACCACTGGCCCTGGGAATGGTCACAACTAGGTCTTATTTTTGGGGTAGGTCTTATATGTTAGCAAATCCCAAAAATAGTACTAGGTCTTATTTTCGGGGAAACAGGACTTTGGATTTTGTGGAACTTCACTCCTTCATTGAAATGGAATGTCGGACAATATTTTATTTCCTGGCCACTGCAGGCAGTGGCGTAACAGTCACCATAGCGACCCAGGCGGCCGCTATGGGGCCTGGGGCACAGGGGGGCCCGGCCAGGACATTCCTGATGCCCTGCAGGCTGCCTGGGTCGCTTTGGCATCTCACGCTGCTGACTGTCACTGGCGGCTGTGAAGAGAAATGTGCCTCTGTTCAGATCACTGACAGTGATCTGTGCAGTGGTGCGTTCCTCTACACAGCCGCTGCTGAGTCAGTGAGAACCAGCAGCGGTGGTGAAGCAGGCTGGACCCAGCAGTGGAGGAGGCGGAGCCCGGGGTTGGCATTAGAGGAGGAGGCGGGGCCCGGTGACTGTGCGGGCCTGGCGATGGCGAAGGAGGCGGGGCTCATCATCGACCGTGGAGGCGGACAGGTAAGGAGTGTGACCAGCCCACCATATACTCTCTAAGGTGGGCTCTGCAGGGTCATCCTCAAGTGGGCTGTGTGGGATCTCAATTGGGCTCTGCAAGGGGTGTAACTAGAGATCAAAGGGGCTCCATACAAAATTTTGCTATGGGGCCCTGTGATTTCTAGTTACACCCCTGACTGCAGGTATTGTCAGTTGTAGAATACCTGCTCCCCCAAAACGCGCTGTGGTTCCTATTGGTGGCTTATACAACTACCTGCAATAGGAGCAGTTATTTGAGCACCAGAAATGGTTAAATACTTGAGTGGCATTTCAACATTGTGTGCTGAAACGGAAAATAAACTGCCCCTTCATTTTACAGCCATTTCCCTCTTTTGGTTTTGGCCCTTTAGTAACAGGTTCACTTTAAGGGCATAATGCACAAACCCGACAACTATCTGAGGTTTTATTAACTTTATTATGACGTTCTAATAACTTTTGTTTCCTTCTCAGGACGATAAACTAACCAAAAATGAGATACTGGAGAACTGGAACATGTTTGTCGGCAGTCAAGCAACTAACTACGGTGAAGACTTGACACGGCGGCACGATGAATTTTAATGGAAGTCTGTCTGTGTGCTCCTGGTTGAGCTCATACCGCCTCAGCACATTGCTGATGCCTTAGAGACTGGATTCCAGTTGTGGCAATGGGAACTTTGGGACAAGGGGGCTGAATCTCTGTATTGTTTTACATACAGTACCACTTTTTTTTTTTTTTTCCCCTCCATAACAAGAGACTTGTCCGATGCTCAGGAAACTGCTGCAGCCGTCTACAACTATTTTGTATGCGACTCCATACTTTTTGAGACTATATCATCTGAAGTTTTATGTTTTGTATTGGACATAGCAGTCAATACCACTTTAAATGTTTGTGAGCTGTTGCAGTTTGTATCTTTTTTAATTCTCCAACCACAAAACAAGACATCCTGTGAATTCGATCAAACAAATGTCTTCCTACAGCTGATTATACACCTTACAATTATCTGCAGATTTTCTGTGGTTGGAAGGAAAAGGTGCAAAAGATTCCTCCATCTACACCAACTGTGTGGATGGAGGAATCTCCACCTGGGCCAATCTGTTGCACTTTTTCCATCTGACCACAGAAAATCTGCAGATAATTGTAAGGTGTATGGGCACCTTTTTTACTGGTCCTTGGACTGTAAGTGACGCATGTGCAGTTTTAACTTTATCATTGGTTCAATTGTGACTCATTCCTTGTAACATGCATGTTTTGCCCAGGGGTGGACCTGCATGGTCTAATCCCCAACTGGCTTCCCATACTTTGAGAGCCAATTCCTGCATCACAGCAATGCACTTGCTCTATGCGCTTCCTAGTGCAGTGCTATTCATTGTAAATGCCCCCCCTCGTGCATTGTACAGTAGAGCACAATACACTGTGTGGGTCCTGGTGTGCTGCATTGCTAAAAAAAAAAAAAAAAGGGTCATGTATGGTTTTTTTTTTTTTTTTAAAGTCATTGTGGTGTGTTGGTAGCCCATTTATTTTGACTGGCCTGTCTGAACACAACATGCTATGTTAATGCATACTGTTACTTTTTTTTTTTTTTAATCTGCTTTACTACACTTAAGGGTGAATGAGCCCTGAAGATGCAGCAACAATCTATAGCTCTTTCCCTCACAATTGTCATTGAGTAGTCTCAATCTTCTTCCCTTTTCTGTAATACAAGTGAATAATTTATGCAGATGAGTGGGTGTAGTATGGAACATGGCTGTATGAAGGTGGCCATACACTTTACAACCCTCGCAAGACTTTTGTCTTGTGAGGGTTGTAAAGTAATTACAAAAACGTACGGTCTGCCCATCTTGGACAGGCAGATCGTACTTGCGATCATCTGATGACTGCAATGAAGGGCGGGCTTCTGATGACTGCAAACGGGCAGTGTGCGCACACCGGCCTGTTCGGCAGTTGTCAAACAAGCAGGCCACTAACCCGCCGAGAATCGTACGATTCCCGGCGGGTTTTCCAGCCTACTTGTTCGACGGAAGACGTGTGCCCGTACAATAGAAACGGTTGCACGCCTTCCATACACTTTGCGATTATCGAACGATCGCGGGATTTCCCGTGATTCTCGTACGATAATGTACAGTGTATGGGGACCTATAGTCACAATGATAAAGCGCACCAGAATTTGAAGGAAAAAAGGGGAATGGTTTGAAAAATTGAGTCCCTTTCCTCCTGCTGGAGGTTCTACAGGACTAGAGTTGAGAGGCACTACAGTAAACCCTGTGTGAAGTGGAGGGGCATGGCTGAGAACGGTGCATGGACTGTACCAGCTTCTAGACTCAAAAGAAGTGGCCTGATCTGGAATTAACTAACATTAAAGAGATCTGTGCTGTGAAAGGGTTGCAAGAAAAGCAATTTATGGTCAGCAACATACAATTTTACCTTTGCTCAGATCATTCCTTTTAGCTACAGTTGAATAAAAATGATGGAAAGCATTTTTTTCAGAGGAGCTTTACTCTAAAAGCAGGTATAAGAGAACCATCCTATGTGCCCAGATACATCAAGATTGAGAAATGGTTGCCTGTCTGTAGGTAGTCTCTGACGTCTCCAGACATTTTATGGTTGCATTTGCCAAATTATTGTTACTCTTGTCCCTTGAGATAAACTAGTGGGAATGTCCTACTTCACTTACTACATAGTGGTCTATGATGGAGAGAGAGTGTCTATGTGGGTAGCCTAAACAAGACTTTTCATAAGAGATTCATGGAGTCTGCTGACCTGCAACTGCTAGTTGCCTGGCCAATATGGTAAGGATTTGTTTTTGAAGACCTAGAATAAGACTTCTGATGTCACTCTGAAGTTCTTGTTTTGCATACTTGTTCTAGGTTAGTGACAAAAGTATTAAAGCCAGTGGGGTCAACATAAAAGTCAGGCAACTCACATTTTCAGAAGCAGTCCCTGTACTCTCATGGTAGGTTTACATGCTAATTTTGTGTCCCTGCTCCCATGTTTCATGTGAATGGAGGATTGGGCATTGCTTTTCTTTAAATTTGACAATCTAACTGTATCCCGGCGTTATTTGACTTTATAAAGCTGTTGATTCAGCTGGGTACACATTCATTTATGATGATTCTATAATTGTCACGGTTCTGTTCGATCACAAAACAAGAACACTTCCATCATTTTCTTTACCAATGTATACAGTATGTTCCCACTACATGAAGAAGAGTTGTTAAACCTCCCAAATATGACAGCACTGCGATGTTTGTAAGTCACTGCAGTGCAATTCTAAACCGTTAAAGACATTGTGAAGCCTCTGAACAAAGAAAAAGCATTGTAACCCTTTACAATTGTTTCATATCACACATATACATGATAAAGTGCAACTTCGGGTTACAAGTGAAACCCGGGAAAAACCTTCAACTTTGTAAAGTCAGAATGTCCACTTAGTTTATTAAAGTTGAGCTTTATCTTGTGTGCTGGTGCTTGGCATTCCAGCTTCCTATACACCAGGGGGTCTCAAACCTCCGGCCCTCCAGCTGTGGTGAAACCACAAATCCCATGATGCATCTCTCTTCGGGAGTCATGGCTGTGAAAATCCTGCAATGCCTCATGGGATTTGTAGTTCCACCACAGCTGGAGGGCCGGAGGTTTGAGACCCCTGCTATACACCATATGGCTAGCAGTTTGTGGGCATCTGACCTTTACACCTGTATGGACTTGTTGGACATGCCATTGCAAAATCATGGTACTTTATGGCTACAGCAGTCTCCTCTACTACGAAGACTTTCAACAAGATTTTGGATGGCATCTCTGGAAATCTGTAACTATTCAGTTAAAATACATTTATTTTTCTTACACATGAATGGTAATGTTTAACTTTACATGTTTATTACCAAGTGCGTTTTGCAAGAAGCTCTCACTTTAATCAGGTTATACAACTATCTTTAGAGTTTGCAGTGTCTTGTAGCAGTGCTTTGTTGCTCTAGTTCTTGTAGCCCTATAGTCTACCTACCACATCCCAGAACCAGAGGGCCATCAACACTGCAACTATACTAACCTGGAACCACTTCAGATTTGTTAAATTGACATAACAGCCGCTATTGCTGTGAAAATCCTCCTGAATTCTGACTTTGAAAAGTCACCCAAGCCCTTGTCCTATAATGTTAATTGCATAGTGTGATGGGGGTTGGGCGGGAGGGACTGTCAGGCAGCATGTGTCTGGGTCCTGTTATAGGGTGAAAACACTTCCCAAATGTGTTCCTTCTTAGTCATCAGGGCTTTATTAGCTGCTGGGGCAGTGATGGGCATTTGAACAGAGAAGGCTGGCTGTAGCACTGAGGAGGTCGAACATGCCTCCTATCTCTGCAATCAGCAAAGCTCATTCTCCCTACTGACTAAAGCATTCTGACTCAGCAGGGGTGTGTTGGACCTCTGCAGAGGGACCACAGGTCCTACTTTGCAGCGGATAGATTTTAATAAGGCTTTTTTTTTTTTAAAGGAAACAAACGTAAGATGGCCATACACCTTACAATTATCGTTCGATTTCTTTCATCCCGTCACCGAACCTTCGTTCGATTATCTATACTATCTGGCTGAATTTCATCGATCGACAGAAAAGATTTTTGTTTGCTTATGTGCAGTGTTGATGTTGCCATTTTTTGCGTACGAAAACGCCACTAATCCATCGAATTTTGTACAATTCGAAAAAGTTTTCCAGCCTCACTGATCAAAGAAATTCACCCGGTTGTACAGTAATTTTGATCATTCACTTCCCATCAACTGGCCGATTATCGTACGAAAACCTGATTTCGTTCGATTTCCCAACGATAATCGCAAGGTGTACGGGCAACCTAAGACTTTGCACACCTTTGTATATGATGCACCTTGATGGTATTTAGCAAATTCAAACAAAAAGCTCAGTTGGGCTTTAGGTTCACCCCCTATTTCCATTGTCAAAATGACATGTCACAACCCAAAGAGGACATAAGATGGCAATAATTTAATAACAAAATTCTTCCTTTCTATTCAGAACTAAAAAATACATTTGGTTAGACTTCTACTTGGTCAGGCTGTGCCTGACAAAGTTGGCAAGTGGAGGATGAATATACAAATCTTAAATATGTAATACAGCCAAAGCAGCATGGTACAGCAAACATTTACATGAAGTATGTCACAAATTTAAAAGGAGGAAAACATTACAATAACTAAAAAATATATCCCCACTGAAAATACATTATAGATCCCATTCAAAGCAGGACTAAACCTTTAAAAAGGAGAACTATGAGGTGAGTGTTTTTCACTCACCTCATCGTTCTAGCGACCTGTGACAATGAGACTGTCACAGGTCGGCTCAGTAGATCGGGAGGTGAGCAAACACATACCTTCGTTCACTCACCTCTCGATCCTGTGACGGCTCCCTGCCGTGACAGGGGAGGGGCTGGATTCCCCTCTCCCCGCTCCGATCTGCCAGCACTGACTGACGGAACGGACGGGGGAGGGTACAGCTGGCTCTGCCTCTAGATAGGCAGAGCCAGCTGTCACTCACGCAGCTGGGCGGATCTCGACATCGTTGTCGGGATTCGCTGCAGCGTCTCAGTATACCGCAAGCTGTAGTACTGAGCCTAGGGTGACGGGAGGACACTAGTTTGTGTGCTCCCGTTACCCTAAGGAGAACTATGGGGAAAAGCCCTGACCCAGCTGGTAGAAGAGACTTTTAGAAATCTCTAGGTCTATACTGGCAAAATAAAAAAAACTCATCTGACTGCTAGCATTTTTCTTTCTTCTGATCGTGGTGCATGCACATTAAAATGTACAGTGCCGGTTCATTCCCAGAATCATACAGATACCAGATGCTGAAATAATGCAACTCCAATGCACATACATACGGGTCACATTATCAGTGCCCACCCGAAGGATAAAGCAATAAGATGCTGGACCCCGAAGAAGAGGACCTTGCGACACTGGGAGGAGAGCACACCTAGATATAAGGGCTCCATAACAGAAAAGGGCCTGCTAGTAATAGAGAATTTATATAATGAAATTCTACCACAAATAAAACAAACAATATCAATGACATGGTATTTTACATTTTTATTCATAAAACAGTGTGCACGACAGATACACTCCACAAAGAAATACACACTGAATAAGGATGATTATTTTTATATGGAAATTTGTATCCGGCAACAACGGCTACAGTGTGGGTGAAGCCGGTGTTTTCAGCACAGACAAAAGACCAGAAAATCTGGGTTACAAGGGCCCTGACATGACATTTTTATCTATTGGAGGCACAGCATCTCCTGCAGGTAAATCCAACCATTATAGCAGAAATATGACCGCTGCACAATCATTCTCTACAGCAATGCTGACATATTCATGCATGTTCACACCAGCTAAGCTTTCATGTTTCAATAGTTCTCAGTCCATTTTTATCTTAGGTTTATGTATTTTTTATCTGATTTTGTTTACCATGTGTATAAAAGCTTTGATTTGTAAAATTAACATTTCATCTAGGATGCTAGGATTTAATGAACATCATGGGAAAGAGCACAGCAAGAGCTGTTTGCCTTCAGCCCTTCTCACTCTGACTGAAGATTTGTAGAGTTGTCTATTCCACAGCAGGGGGATCGGGGAGGAGTTACTGCTCTTACTATTTTAATTGTCTAGGTAACTTGCAGTTAGAGCTATTGAGCTTTGTAAGCTTTTTTTATACAACAGAGGAAAGAAAGAGCCTGGAAAAAAACAAAAATAAGCAGACAGCGCCTCCTGCTGGCTGAACATGGAATATAACCTTAATGTGCAGCATTTTGTATTTAGCTGACAAATGAAAACAATTTTGACAAGCCAAGAGCATCCATTCCAGGCAACCGATTTTCCCCTACAAGACTGACTGGCCAAGGAGTGTCTACACCTACATACAACTGCTTTTTTGATTCCATTATTGGCTTGATAGGATGATGATCTTTTAAAGCCTCTAGGAAGCCCAACATTGACAACTATATAGTCCAAAAGTCCACTGCTGACCTCAACTTCTGAAAATACTTATTCCCTGGCTTTCTTGCACATCCAATGGCTTCACTACTGTTTAAATTTCGGACTATGTAAAAGTATGCAGGTTAGGTGGTCCATAGTCACTCCAAGTTGCCTGATCTGCATGCTTGTTTTAGGTAATGGTCTGCAAGTTTTGAAAATGTTAGCTGCCTAGCTGTTTATGCTGATCTTCTGGTTTCAATTCTTTCTAAGCTACTACCTGGGACCAAGTTTGCAGATCAGGACAGTCAAAGTAGATTCGAGACATCCCTAACAATATTCTTGTTCTGCATTAGTAATTCAGAGAACTGAAGCTAGAGACTCAGCATTCCGGCCAGGCAACCAGCATTTAGGGATGTTCCGATACCAAAGTACCGTACTAAGTACAAGTACAGACACTTTTCCAGCTGCAGGACTAGACTAGAGAAAAATTCAAAAGTTAGGAGTCAGCTGTCATTTGTAAGGAGCACACTGAGCTCCTGGGATAGATGGATAGAGATAGATAGATAGATAGATAGATAGATAGATAGATAGATAGATAGATAGATAGATGCACCGATACCATTTTTACAAGTACTGATACTTGTCCGAGTACTCACAGATACAAGTACTGATACATTTTTGTTTATTGTCATGTGACAGTTTTTCTAAAATAATACAGACTAATGATTTCAGGACAGCGGTGGAGCGCCAGAGCCAGGTCCCAGCTGCAACCCTGGTAGTTCTCGTGAAAATGCCAAATATCAGCCCTGGTATCTGGACATCCCTACCGGCATTTTTAGAAGTAGGACTTCAATGGCAGCCTACATATTTTTATCTGTATAGCTTTCCTTTAAAAGTTCTGCCTTACTTCTTTGCTGACAATTGCAAGAACTATGGGAATAATTTACTAACATCTTTGTTCTCCAATCAGGATTGCTTACATGCATTTGGTTGTGGAAAAGGTCAGTCAACAAGATGGATTATGTAAAAGTTTAAAGATAAATGCTCAACTCTTAAGCATTTCTTTCCCACCTTAACATCCTGCAAGAGTATGTAACATTATCCACTCATAGAGGAGTGATATGCGACTGTTCAATGTTGAGGGCAAAAGAGGAACAGGAGCCACAGAAGACTGAGTTGGCTACTTTTGTCTCCAAGCCGTGATCCAATGCATAGCAGAGAAGACCCAACAAGCGATCAGTGCCTACTGTACTGCACAGAAAAAGGAGTAATCCATTCTATGTAGCGTTATGTGTACATAGAGGGCAAAATTACAGAAGTGTGCCAAATGGAAAGGTTTGTGATACAAATACTTCTCACGCCTGCATGACTGGCCGAGCTTCTTTAGCTTCCAGCTGTACTCCGGATCCGGAGAATCCTGTGCCACCCTGCAGAGAAATCACAGTTATTATCCTATGTACAGTGTGAGAAATAAAAGGAGCTGTCGAGAGACAGTTACAGCTGAAAGCCAAATCACATCTTAGGCAATCAGGCCTGAGTGGTTATTCACAGAGCTGTGAAGACTTTCCAATAACTGAAACATACTGGGCTTAAAATCTACCACTAGGCTTCTATAAGACAGCAGGGTCTGCCAGGAAGTTCCTGTAAAGCATCATTGAATCAGATCAATTAATAAATGTAGTCAGTTTTCTTTGTGCTGGGTAGCTGGAAAGTGTCCAGGGGAATTGTTGCAGTTCCTTTCACAACCGGAAACAGGGTCCTGGGGCTATTTCTGTAGTTAAAGGAGAACTATGGGGTTAAGTCTTTTCCCAATAGTTCTCCTTAGGGTAACGGGATGACACAAACTAGCGTCCTCCCGTCACCCTAGGCTCAGTATACCGCGAGCTGTAGCTCGCGGTATACTAAGACGCCGCAGCTGAAGCGGATCCCGACAATTATGCCGGGATCCGCCCAGCTGCGTGACTGACAGCTGGCTCTGCCTATCTAGAGGCAGAGCCAGCTGTACCTGCCCCCTCCCCCGTCTGATCCACCAGTCAGCGCTAGCGGATCGGAGCGGGGAGAATCCAGACCCTCCCCTGTCACGGCAGAGAGCCGTGACAGGATCGAGAAGTGAGCGAACGCCGGTATGTGTTCGCTCACCTCCCAATCTACTTAGCCGACCTGTGACAGTCTCATTGTCACAGGTCGGCTAGAACTATGAGGTGAGTGAAAAGCACTCACCTCATAGTTCTCCTTTAAATGTATCCAGCTGTTATAGCTTCATATTAGAGAACTTAAAAGAACCGCAAATTAGGAAAATTACTGTATGGGTTAATGCATGTAATGATAGTATGCAGTATGGAGATAATTCTTATAGTTGCGGAAACTCCATATTCTTCTGGACAGCTTGCTCTGCACGCACATGTGGAGAAAATATAAATGTGAACTAAAAAATTAAATTCATTTACTGAATATTATTATAACATGTTAATCCAAATACTTTTATATTTTTTGCACTAGTGCTACAGCAAATACATAATATGTATAATAGTGCCGCTAAACATTGTCCATAATAATCTCAAATTCAGCACAGATTCCTACCGTACTGATTAGATATTGGTGGCTGATATCTGATGTATTGCTGTAGACAACATGAGCACATTTGTCTACTTCATTTTATAGATTTTCTCAAATGATTTTGGTACTACAGTGACTAATTCAGAGGGTAGGACGGTAGATTCTTCATTGACAAAACAGGATGAGAGCTACCCCACTGAAATTACTACACTACAAAATAGAGATGCACCGATAACGTTTTTTCGGTGTCGAGTACCCAAATGTATCTTTCGGAACTTGCCTGATACCAAGTAACAGGACTTCTGCTAGCATGAAGCAGGCTTCCCAGGCACCCGGCTCCATGCGGATTGGCCAAGAGGCCGGCTTCCCAGCCAATCAGGAAGCCGGGAGGTTGGCCATTACCCGCCGTCGGTCTACCTGACTGGCTGGGAAGCCGGCTCCATGTTCCCTCACAGCATTGCCGGTCAGAGGAAATCTCCCCCTGACCAGAAGTATCGGGGGAGGTATCGGAGCATTTCGGCGAGTACTCGCTAAAATACTCGGTATTGGCACCGATACTATTATCGGTACATCCCTACTACTAAATACTGCCAAGGATTTTGTCCTCTATCTCGACCAACTTCAGGGCACGCACAATGAAAAAACAGCTGCGTGCTTGCAATATCTGGGCTGCTTATTTATGGCCTCTGTTAGCAGAGAGATAAACAATTCAGATCTGGGGATTTATCATCCACATATCCAGAAGTAAGAAGAAACTTTAGAAGCTTAGACTTTAGAAAATTGTTCCATTTTTTTTTGGAAAGCACAGTAACTGGTGCCCAGACACAATGTTCTGAGGTTTAGACCATGGTCCTTTATAAGATCTTAAAACACCCGACAGACACAATTTAAGGCCAGAAATGATATTCTGTATTGCAATGCTGGTGTGCAAAATAAAAAAAAATGGACAATTTTTAAGCATAAAGTTTCTGAAGTTACTGCGGACACCCTACAATGAACAAAAGAATAACACTTACCCTCTGCAAAACGATAATATCCTTCTCCATCAGCTTTTCTCCACTAATTGGATCGGTCATATCTTTCTTGATCAACTTCTCAACGCACTCCAATGTGACCACAGCTCCCCTAAAAAGAGGAAAGTACTTTCAGTAAGTACAAGATCCATTCAGACACACCTTTACAATTCTACGTTCTGGATGAGGGCCTCATTGTAAACAATAATAATAATAAATATCAAATAATGCATTTACAAAAAAAAAATAAAAATCTTCATCCGACAAATTGCACTACCCAAAATGTCCTCCAGGTGTCAGCAAGCATCTACCATCCAGACTAATGACCTCAGATCCAATCACATATGTTCTGGGGTGAAGAAAAAAAAAAAAGAGAATACAGGCGACATCAATGTCTAGACTGTAGACAAAAGAATGTCATAACCTGAAGGAGAGATATAACTGAATGAAATGAACAAATTAATCTTGCTGATGCAGTGCAAAACTGCATATGCAATCCTTGTACATGCAAAGAAATAAAAGGTTTACGATTGCAAAGCTTACGTTGTCTCGATTATGTCTATTAAGTGAACATGTTCAGTGTACTGCCAGGATGAGATTTCGTTTTAGATCAAATATGACCTACAAGCCTTCCCTATGACAGGCCTTTGATAGTAAACAGTGTCACGTGACAAAGACGATCCAGTCACACACCAAAAGTAGACATGACTGAAACAATTTATATCTACCACACGCCAAAATGGACACTGACACATCCCATGTAAAAGGCAACCCAGTTTCACTGGCACGGTCTGGTTTCTATATACCGTATTTGCCGGCGTATAAGGCGACTCGGCGTATAAGGCGACCCACTAATTTTTTCTGATAAAACATAGGTTTTGGGTATAAGACGAGTATAGCCCCAAATAATGTTTCAACACACCCACTTGAGGAAGGGACCCTGCGTGGCCCTGAAACGTCGGCTTTGTTGATTATTGTGACACAATTGTCCAATAAAAAGGACTTATCTATTTAAATTATCTTGAGTGCTGGTGACCTGTCTTTCTACTTAATACACCCACTAACATCCCTGTCGGTATTCCCGAGTGTGGCTTGGGGTTAATTTTCAGTACCATAAGCGGTAACCCCGAGCCACACTCGGGATTACAGTCTTTTACCTTGTCCACGATCCCTGCTGTTTCCGCCGTCTTCCCTCCCTTGCGAGGTAGCACGTCGCAGGGGGCGGCACCGGCGGAAATTTTAAAAGTTTTTTTTTTTTAAATACGGAAAAAAAAAAATATTCAGACTGCCAGGGAGGCTAATTTGTCAGGCTGCTGGATGTGCGGTATTACTGTGTGTACGGTAGCTTCGGCTACATACAGTATACCGCGCTGAGCCAATCACGGCAGGCTTTGTATTCATTAATAGAATACATCGCTTGCAGTGATTGGCTCAGCGCGGTATACTGTATGTAGCTGAAGCTACCGTACATACAGTAATACCACACATCCAGCGGTATTGTATACCCGGCGGATAAGACGACCCCCGATTATCAGGGGATGCTTTTAAGTCTAAAAACTCGTCTTATATGCCGGCAAATACGGTAGTTATTATACATATGGCAAGCTTCTAATTTACAACCACCCCATTCTCAATGTTTCCAACATTAATATAATAGTTTTCAAGATGGGTAAGTGGCCTGCAGCTTTCCTCCCCTTCATCCCTCCCCTCTTGCACTGATCAGTTGGACTCTCATGCAAAATGTTAAATCGCAAATTGTGTGTCTTGGCACATCACAGAAACCTACCAGCAGCACTCTGCTAGTGTGTGTTGCAGGAAGAGAACAGGCATGTCATCAGTTTATCTGATGCACTGAAGGCTTTCTGTAAACTGTAACAGATGGCAACCGCATGAATCTATAACCAGGCTTTATAGCAGGGCGCACATGGGAAGGCTTACAACAATACAAAACACAAAAAAGATCCCCAGCGCACCTGCCAGCTAGCCTGCAACACAACGAATTACCCTGTCAACAGTATGCGTTAAAAAACAGGTTTTAGTTGCACAAACCTTTGGCCAAAAAAATTTAGAAGCCACACTGCCACCGTCAAGGCACCTCTGCAAAGTGTGGTCCTAACTATTTATTTGAGTCTCCAAGTGTGAGCATATTAATGAAGTTGATAGATTCAATGCAGGTGTGCCTGGGAGGACAGCCGAGTCCTCCTCAAAAGGTGCAGGGACGCACTGGGGGCCCAGCAACCAAAAATCTATGAAATGTTTATAGATAAGTTATAGATTCATGCGGTTGCCATCTTTTTCTAGTTTGACTATTTTGGATGTGGGGGCGCACTGGGGGTCCCGGCGTGCATTTTTGGATGCTGGGCCCCCAGTGCGTCCCTGCACCTTTTGAGGAGGACTAGGCTGCCTCCCAGGCACACCTGCACTGAATCTATCAACTTCATTAATATGCTCACACTTGGAGACTCAAATAAATAGAGTAAGGCTGGGCACACACCTTACAACCATCGCAAGACTTTTGTCTTGCGATGGTTTATAAGCCCTTTTTTTATGGTTTATAAGCCCTTTTTACGCCTGTCAATTTGACTTTGTGGTTTTGCTATTTTTATAAAAAGAGCCTCAACTGTATTCCGTCTTGTCTTTTGTGCTAAAACAATAAAAATGTATATGGAAAAAAAAAAAAAAGAGCCTCAACAAGGAAATAAAAACAAAATTTATCAATGGACTTACGAAGGTCGTAGGACTGCACAGGGTACAGAATTGCCAAGCATATCCCGCGTCACTGCGCACACATATCTATCCTGACGGTTTATGAGACCAACACGATCCACATTTTCATCTACTTTAGTAAACTTCACAGAGGTCAAGTCTTTCATCTTCAGAGACATTCCACTCATGGGGCAGTAAACATTCTTGTCCTGTCAGAAAACAGCAGTGAGCATGCAGTGTGGAAATTGGTTTTGAATGAGGCCGCTATTAAAGTCAAACACTATTTTGGTTAACACGATAAGTACAGGCCTACTGCATATATGAGCGAACCATTTCAGATTCCTACCTACTTCTGTTTTGGAGGTATTACAAGCACCCTAAGAACCAACGTCATGGGTCGCATTGTACGATGGGTGTCAACCCAAATTAACGAACTCACAACTTCTCACCCCTTTCTCTAAGACTTGGTGAAGTTCTTTAGAAGGCAAGGTTGTGCAGTGAGGTCAGCACAGAGCTTGTTAAATGGTTTGATGAACTACCCACATGCCCGATTCTCTAATAACTCAGAATTTAAATATGCATTTATCAATGGTTCTCTAATGTCCTTTTTTTGCATGTGGTTCTTGAAAAAAGTATTTTGTGTGCAGGTACATACATTTGAATCCATGTTTACAGCATTTTACATATTATTATACAGGATTTAAATAGCGCCAACGGTTTGTGCAGGGCTTTACAATATAAGGAAGTCCTTACAGTTATAATACAAGACGGTAAGGAGGGCCCTGCCTGTGAGAGCTTACAATCTAAAAGGGAGTGGCAAGTGATACAAGAGGTGATATCTGTGTGGGGATGAGTTGTTTGAGAAAGTAATAGTTCAGTGGTTAGGTTGAGGTGGGATAGGCTTCCTGAAAAAAGATGGGTCCTCAGGGATCGCCTAAAGGCAGACAGAGTAGGAGACAGCCGGACAGGTTGGGGTAGGGAGTTCAGGAGAGACTCTAGAGAAAACCTGGCATGGGAGGCATGGGAGGAGTCATACTATTCCACCCTTATAGAAAAAGTGTGTTTTTACACGCGAAAACACTAATGCTTAGGTGTGAATCCGGCCTGAACTGCTTTGTATCTTATTTTGTAAATACATCAGGAATACTTCCTATTTGTTTAATGAAATCGGTTTTGCTTTATTTTGGATACTCACTGGCTTCTTCACAAGTGTGGATTTGGCCTCTGGTGTCAGCGATGGGATCCAGAAGCTGGGAAGCTGCTTGCCTTTATCCTCACTGCTTTGCTTACTAGTGCTGGCCTCTGCTGCTGAGCCATTGCTCTCTTCTTTAAAAAAAAAAAAAAAATTACAGAAACTCACAAATAACATTATGATTACCACACAGCTTCCTCAAAACAAGCAAGATCACAAATCACCAGGTGGCCACACTACCATATACACTGGCAGACGGGAATGTAAATAAAGAGCTTAGTGTGACCGGTGACACAGGAAGCTATAAAGCAGCAAATAGTGGTGTCACCTTCCTAAAAGTGATCTGTGGCAGAAGCACCAGATCTAAAGAGCGTCTAGAAAGAGTTACCGTATTTGCCGGCGTATAAGACGACCCCCCACTTTTTGAGAAAAAATATAGGTTTTGGGCTATACTCGTCGTATAAGACGAGTATAGCCCAAAACAATGTTTAAATGCACTTACTAGCCTCCTTGGCGGTATTCCCGAGTGTGGCTCGGGGTTAATCAAACCCCGTCTTATACGCCGGCAAATACGGTACAAGTAATCTTCCAAGAAAAACACATGCTTTCGAGGAGAGAGAGGTGTGTGTGTGTGTCTAACTTTCAGTTAAGTGGAAGGCACCTATGGCAGCAAAAGGGTTCATCAGTCACAGAAACGGTGTAATCTACATGCATTACCAGTTATTAGGATGAGTTAATACCCCTACAGACTGCACCAACAATGGTGCATAAAGAACGTTACGACTGACAGAGAAAGAAAAGATTTCACACACCCATTTTCTTGGAGAAGGGGTTGAGTGGTTTACTGATGATGGACATTTCCTTATCAAGAAACACTTTCATTTTGGACTCTTTTGCAGCTTTGGTCAATTCTTCCATTTCTGTCTTCTTCTCATTCTTCTGCTTTTCATACAACTGATTAAAAAAAAAAAGGAAGATTTTGTCTTCAACTGAGCAGCAATTTTTATTTTACACAGTTTGGAAAGTGGCAGCAATTTGCATGTCTAGCACATAACAATCTAAGTCTGGATATTATTATTCCCTCTGCATAAGACCACATTTTGTGTCATTTTCAGAAAGTTAATAAAGGACTGGGTTGTGCATTTGTAATGTTTGCAATGTATCCAATAGCTATTGTTTCCAATCGGCTCAGTTCACGCTAGCATGTTGCGTTTGTGTGCATTGTCTAAATGGAACATGCTGCATGAACAAAAATCGAAAAGAGAAGCCGATTGGTTACTAGGGATGTACCGATACTGGTATGGAGTACGAGTACCGATATTATTTTTCCCGTACTCACCGATACCGTATACCGAGTATCGGAAGTCCCATGCAGGAAGCCAGGCAACGTGTAATGACTCGCCGCCTTGCTTCCTGATAAGCCGGGCGGCATGTAAAGACTCGCTACCCGGCTTCCCGATTAGCAGGGAAGCCGTCACCATGCTTCTCATCACTATGTGACGAGAAAGCATGGAGCCGGCTTTCTGGCCAATCAGGAAGCCAGTCGCCATGTAATGAAGTGACTCCCGGCTTCCTGATTGGCCGGCTCCATGGTCATGAAGTGACCAGGGAGCATGAAGCCGGTTTCCTGGTCAATCAGGATGCCGGGCGTCACGTCATTACACAGCGCCCGGATTCCTGATTGGCCAGCTTCCCAATCAATCAGGAAGCCGGGCAGCGAGTCATTACACACTGCGCGGCTTTCTGATTGGCCGGGAAGCCAGCTCCATGCTCTCTCATCATAAGTGACGAGGGAGAATGGAGCCGGCTTCCCGGCCAATCAGGAAGCCGGGCAGGGTGTAATGAAGCGCTGCCCGGCTTCCTGATACAGGAAGAATCGGGCTAGGCATCGGAACATTTGGGCGAATACAAGTACTCGCCCAAATACTCGGCATCGGCACTGATACTAGTATCGGTATTACTGCATCCCTATTGGTTACTATGGGCAACTGCTCCACATTCTGTCTGCTCCAGTTTTGATAAGTTCCTCCCAATGTATTTTGGCTCCTGCTGTGACCAAAACAACCTGCACATGAACGCATCTCAATACAAATACAAAAACAGATCTCAATACCAGACAACTCAAAAGCATTTAACGTGTGTCAATGCAGCGGACGTGGTGTGAATCTAGCCTTAAACAAAATCAAGAGATCTCCTTTATCATTGGAACACTATTCAATGAATACATTTAACCCATGTGTTTCCTGCACAGTTTTGCATATTTCATTAAAAGAGGCATGCAAAGCACAATAACCCCAGAAACTTGTCCCCTTTTATTGTTCTGATCATGCCTGGCTGATTAAAAATTAAATCCCATTGTCTGGTCTTTGTTATTTTGTTTTGCACTTTACAACTCTTTACTCGCTTACATTTCAAAGAAGTTGTTAATTGGTCTGAACTGTAAAAACTGCACCATAGGAAGTGGTTGCCCAAAGCAGGTTTTAGCTGTAACCAAGATTGGGAGAAAAGAAAAGTAATGTGGAAGCCAACTGCTTGCTACAGACAACTGTGCCACCTAACAGGAAACAATTTGAATGAATAAGCCTCAAAGCATGTTATGTATCAATACAACTATAGAAGAGTAGAGTGGATGCGATTCCATTGTACAATGTCTAATGTTTCCAATACCTGATATTTACTGGATCTTAGATTTTTTGCAAAAACTGCACGACACGCTAATGAGTTCCAAAACATTGGAGTGATTTGCACACCAGCACAACTGTGTCTCTTTCCAGCTCACACAAAAGGTCTATTTGTAGCAATGACAACTGGAAATATATGCCCTTTTGTATAACTTCACCATCATCATCATACTTTACCTTCATCTGTCGAGCAATCTCTTTCTTCTGATGCAAGATGTATTCCAGGATGGCTTCTTTTTCAAAGATGTATCCATCTGGCCTGCATATATAAGGCATCATGAGAAACGGTTATCTACAGCAGCATTATATGGCCAGCCAGTAAATATCTAATTGCTTCAACTATGAAAATGTTTTGTATGGTTATATAACCGTGTCCCCTTCTTCCACTGTTTTGGAGGGAACTGAGAAATGTATATTATATTTTATTTTATGTGCGCAACAAAGCTTTCAGTCCAATATGTGGACTGTGCCGTATAGAACTTGGCAGACAAGAAGTGGTCAGTATTCCCAGTTGATACAGGCTGCAGGTGATAAATGAAACAATTTGCAACTTAAAAAAAATAAATGTGATTTTCTTTGCTAGCCATACATGGCTCGATATTCTCTTGTTTAGCCCACCATGCACCACCATGCTCCCTTCCATCCCAGAACGCACGGGGAAGTTTGGTGAGCGATTGTGGTACGTTCCAGCAGCCACCGCTCTGGAACGCACCGCAATTGGTATGAACAAGCCCTAACAGATTCCCTTTATTTTTTTTCTGAGCTATGAACAATGAAAGCAGAACAGCCAGCTGGCTTCCAAGATCACCTATATTTGACAGGTAGGTAATTGAATACTCACGTTACCACAGGATCTTTACACGGCTGAAGGGATAAACAGCAGCAATCAAAATCCTTCACTGCATCTCTGCTGAGCCGAACAGTTTGTGTTCCATATCCAGAAGCAGCTGAAAGAACAACAACAAAAATGTTTGAGTAGTAGTAACACTTTACTTTACACAAGTAACCCAGCAGGAATTTATAAAAACAGTGGATTCTTGACCGTCTTCTAGAACAGTGGATTGAAAGAGAACCTATCAAAATCAAACCTGCAATTGACATTTTACAAGCCTGTAATTTGCCCATACAAGGCAATCTACAGGATCCGTAGCCAGCAGGCCCCTTCTAAAGCATTTATTTTCATGTGCTTCCCCGCTGCCACATTATCCCACAAGAAAAAAATAGTTGTGCAAATTTCAGACTGGGTTGGTGTCAGAGGTACCACAGGGCTAAAGACCCCAGGGAAGAAAGACAAGTATTCTCCTATGATTCCAAGTGCCTTTTTTTCATTATCAGGGATCTGGCAGCTGACTGGGATGCTTAGGGAGCAAGTAAATGTAAGTACAAGTACCCAGGGGTCCTTAATGGGAAAGTTACAGGTTACAGCTGATGAAGTCTGACTTGCATACTTGTTCTAGGTCAATAACCTATTAGGTAGTAGAGCAGGGATGGGAAGGGGGATGAGGAAGCAACCCAGTAGCTTGCAATTTAAAAAAAAAAAAAAAAAAAAAAAAAAAAAATCGGCAATGATAGCTTCCATAATTTTTGACAGGTCCTCTTTAATCTGCCTGGAAATGACCACAGTGGTTTTCAAAGTGATAAAACCTCAATGCAGGCATCAAAAATGCAATGATATGGACTACTTTAAGAAAGCAGAACACACAGCCAAGTCACCCAAGGCAGCACTTTATTCCTAACCCCCAAAATATTTTCTTTTTGGTAGTTTGCTTCTTAAAGGAAACTTTACTGAGAGAAATATACCGGTAGATTCTGCCACCGCTTATCCCCATCACGAAATGCTAGTTGCCTGGTTTTCCCTGGCTTCATTACGGTTTAAAAAACACTGATTCCGAACAAACAAGTCAGGAAAGTCCTAATGAAGTCAGAGAAACTGAAGCTAAGTCATCAGCATGATGTAGGCAACTGAACACTGTCACTTAGACAGTAAATACGATGAGGGAGAGGGGCTGTAACCCTTTACAACTATATTCAAAACAAATAAAAACCATTTCGCTGGAATTCCATTTTAAAGTGCTACGAACCAGTGTCTTTCCTCTTCTCGTAGTAGGTGTACACAGCTCCAGCTGTGCAGTTCTTTCCATGTCTCGTCATCTTCAGTCATACAGAAACCAACTTTAGAAATGAGAAAAGTGAGGGTTTCAATATGCTACCTGGATTTTTAAAAAAGACTGAAGGGAAAAGAAAGTTTATATTAACAAACCAGCAATAAAAAAAAAATATGTATAATGTCACGGTTGACATTCTTTTGGAACCGATAGTTGCCCGGCTGTTTTCTTAATATTTTGAGTCAGTGACATGGAACATGAATGTAACAAGTAAAGTCATAACTCCTGAGCTGAATACTTGGGACTAGGACTATACTGAAACGGCATAACAACCATGTGCACCAGTGGTCAGACTGCAGCCCAACGTAAAGACGCTACCTAAAGACGCTGCCTGATTCGATATGCACAGGTCACAAAAGGCAAACACACCTCTGGTCTGTGTCAGTGCAGGGCAGCCTCTGGACATAGGAAGACTGACTTTCTAATGAAATGGCACGTCAGCCCGCTGGCACAGTGAATGATGGGACTTGTAGTCCCAATGACTGCTGTCAGCTGACTATTATTGACATGAGTGTGTGCCTGAGCCAAACCTAGTGGTACCTATATAAATGTGTCAATAAGTTGTTGTGAACATTGATACACGCAATCATTTATTGGAATCAGCTGCTTATAACTAAACAGATGCGTTTGTGGGGGAAGAAACAAAAAAAACAAGCTTTAGTAAGAATTTAACTATGAAAAGTTGAACCTTTCATCCAACCTCTACATCATTGATATAGAAAAAAACAGATGTCGGTTCTACAGAAGGACATCTGGACGCTGCAATGCAGAACCTGGGCACTGTGTAGGAAATTAATGGAGGCTGATAACCCAGACCAGGTGAGTAGAACTATGGTTCTCTATTCTGTTAAAGGACTACCAATCCCAGCATGCAATATCACAGCTGGGAGCCACACACAAGAGCCAGACCCCCAACAAGAACCGTGATATCCGTATCCCCCATCACCACCTACAGCTCCCCCTAAAATATGAGCCCCCCCACCAGCGTAGTAACATCCATCTGTTTACCTCTGCGCTCCCGGAAGTGCACTCGCACTCTGTAGGCGCACAGTTATGACGTACTATGGATGTTGTCAATATTAGCCACATGACCTGCCGAGGGGCGGAGCCGGCGGGAAGAGTTTCCGCCTCTGTTGGGTGTCATTTAGGTAGGGAGGGACTGGAGAGGAGAAGCGCTGATGAGGGACGTGACATATGAGGCTGCACGTCCTGTGTCAGAGTTTTACCTCACCGTGTAGTCAGAAGGGGAATTATTCCAGTAAAATCTAATAGAGAGAACCTGTCCTCACTGCGTGACGCATGACATTACAGAGCTAGAGGGACAGATTCCTATATACGCCGAATTATTCATAGTTCAGCCATTCTTCCTACACCTTTTTATCCTGGAGGAAATCTTCAAATCATTTCCAGCTCTTACAATTCTTTGTACAGTTCATGTGCGGGGAGACAAATTATCAAAACTGGAGCAGACAGAATCTGGAGCAATTGCCCATGGTAACCAATCAGCTTCTAGCTTTCATTTTCAATGCTAAACTAAGCAAACTGAAGAGGGAAGCTGATTGGTTAGTATATGCAACTGCTCCAGATTCCATCTGCTTAAGTGAGCAGTAAATTGTACTGGGATTCTTTTCAGTTAGCGAGGTTACATTGTGGAACTCGCTGTCACAAGCAGTGGTATCAGCAGAGAATATTGACTCATTGAAAAAGCATTTAGATACCTTCCTCAGAGACCGGTCAGAGACAGGTACTTCCTCAGAGACAGGTACTCTTAAAAACTAGATCACACAGGAACTTGTGTATACACACATGCACAATCACACAAAGGTTTAACTTGATGGACCTGTGTCTTTATCAAACCTCAAATACTATGTAACTATGTAATTACAGGAATAAACCAAAGAATAAGGAATGTGTGGTTGCTAAGATGCAGGGGGCTGACTGTACAGTGGTATTGGTTGCTAGGATGCAGGGGGCTGACTGTACAGTGTCATTGGTTGCTAGGATGCAGAGGGCTGACTGTTCAGTGTCTTTGGTTGCTAGGACACAGGCAACTGGGCCACACAGAGTCATTGGGTGTTATGGTGCAGCCTGGGGGCTGAAGGTGCACTAAAGACTGATTGTCCGGTATGGACACTCCAACCTAAGTGCTGCACCTCTATTGTGCCTCCATAATTGCCGCCTGAGATAGCCACCTCAACTGGCCTCATAGGTGGCACAGCCCTGCTATTGGTCAGTGAAGAAGTGACCAAAAATGTAAGGGGACATTCCTCCTCTGGCCACTAGTGAACACAACAATTTTTAGTCTGTATTTCTTTTTTTGGCCATTATTATTATTCGTTTGATTCAAACAGCGTACGTGGAAAATTCCCCCTTCCCATTCATGTTTGTGTAGGAGGGAGATTACTATCCGCCACTGTTAAGGAAACCCTTGCGGTATTTTGCAACCGTGAATTTACGATTGTGACCAGAAAACACAGGTCACCTTAGTCAGTACACAGACAGGAAGGAGCATGAGAAGATATTTCCACAGTGAAACTATGCAGATCCTTATCAGCCTTCTCACTCCTACAACCTTCAATGACCAGAAACTGCCCCCGGGCCCACAAAGGTGGAACGGAACATTCAACTGTGCAAAATAATTTACATCGAGAGAGAAACCGAAATAGACTGTTTGGGGTTTAAAGGGCAGAACAGAGCCCGGTGTTGTCATTATCATTGTATCTTCTTTATGACTTGAGCATAACAGGCAAAAACAAAACTACAAACCTGTTTTTCATGTTTTAGAAACCTCCCCTGTAAAATGTCAGTCGTAATGGGATTTCATTGTAGCACTCTGGGCGCGACTGCGCTGCGTGAGCATTAGATTTCCATAGATTTTGTTCCTGGAGAGCGTCAACAATGAAATTAGGACTGTCTGACAGTTACATATGTGACTACAGTATACAGGTGAAACTCGAATAATTAGAATATCATGCAAAGTTCATTTATTTCACTAATGCAACTTAAAAGGTGAAACTAATATATGAGATAGACTCATTACATGCAAAGCAAGATAATTCAAGCCGTGATTTGTCATCATTGTGATGATTATGGCTTACAGCTCATGAAAACCCCAAGAACCCCAAATCCACAATCTCAAAAAAGTAGAATATTACATGCAATCAATAAAACAAGGATTGTACATAGAACAATATCGGACCTCTGAAAAGTACAAGCATGCATATGTACTCAGTACTTGGTTTGGGCCCCTTTTGCAGCACTTACTGCAATTACTTTTGCATGATATTCTAATTATTCGAGTTTCACCTGTATATTAATATGTTCCATAGGTTCCTCAGGAGAGAAATACCCAATTGGTAGTTGGCAGGAAGTTGGGTGCATTGGGATCCCTGTTGTCCCTCTCCACCATTTTAATTGTATTACATGTCCCATAATGTAATATGGAGGGTTTTGGTTTTCATATTGGATAGACTTGGAAGTGTGGTCCTTCTGGGTTTTCTTATTGCTGTCCGGGAGATTTCAGCTCACTTCCTGTCTGTCTGACAACAGAACAGGAAATGAAGGTAGCAGTTGTCACTCGCCAGGGTCTACCTGCATTAGGAATCCACAGTATGTTAAAGAGGAACTCCAGCTATCAGCAAAATTGACTCCACTAGCCCCACTGCATGGGTTACCTGCTCGTTTTGGTCTCGGGGCCGGAATACAGAAGATATACCCACCAGACCTCTGTAAAACAGGATAGGTCATTAAGCAATTGTCCAATTGGTCATTTCATGAATGGGGCTCCTTTTGCACCCCTGTAAAGGGCATTATCTTTTTCTAGCCCATTGTATACATCTTTCTTCTATAGCCCTGAACAAGACCAAAGTCATGATTGGCCTGAGCAGTCTACGGGTGCCTCTGGCTCATGGAAATGTACAAAGTCCAATGAGAGAACCTAGCAAAAAGGTTTAACAGTCCCGAATTCTTTAATATCTGTACTAGTTCACAAAAGGGTAACACAAAACAGCCAAAGCGTTTCGGAGGCCCAAGAGATCTCTCCCTTCTTCGGGGCTTATGACATAATAACCAAAAAGAAATTCTTAGTTGGAAGTTACAAGATGGCGGCAGGCAGTTTTTTGCCGCCTGGGGCGGCCGTGGGGTGTGGCGTCCCGCCGAGTTCCTGGCAACCAGTGATGTCACTGGTTTGCCAGGAGCTCAGCGGGACGCTTGCAAGAGCATCCCAGGCTGCAAATAGTTGGGTTGGGACATGTGTATGGCCCTTACACATCTCCCTGCCCGCCCCTTAGCAACCTGGGACGCTTTGGCTGGAAAGGGGGCGGCAGGCACACTGCAAACATTTTGCCACAGAGCTGCCATGCCTGCTGTTCCCCTACAAGATGGCACCTGAGGCAACAGCCTCATCATGCCTCATTATAGGGACGGTCCTGTTGGCAGTCACTGTGTCAGCAGAACATCTGGCCCATGCAAAATCTGGAAAGCCAGAGATGGGGGTACATAGGGACATCAGTGGGCTGAAAAGACGTCTATAATGTTTAGTTAAACGTGATTACAAAGTAACCCATTTTCCTGACTACATATTAGCTGTAAATGAATGTCATTCAGTTTGTTAAAGCCCATCATCAACAATTGCTTTTTTTAATAAAATACAGTTTTCCATTGTTCATCCTGTTGTATTTCAGTGTTGCTATTCTCCTGCAGGCTCTTTGCATCAACTTCCTGTCTACATGCACATTCTCCAGTCATTTCAAAGAGAAAGAGCCTCCAAACTAGATGGACCCCAATTCTTAGGGACCAGCAAAAGCTGATCCACCAAGTATTTGGTAATGGCTCTCCCAAAGAGAGAACCTCATAGGGTGGACAAAAGTCCTGAAGCCCACAGAGCCCCCCTCCTCCAGACATCAGAATGGACGTCAAAGGTGCCCACACATTCAGTCATCTGTGGTGTAAAAACTGCTCGTACGTAAATGCTATAAATAAATTAATTAAATGCCAGACATGACAGGCCTGGCGGCCAAGAACCATAGTGCAGAGAAAGCTGCAGTGCCGTGATCTTGCGCCGGTGCCACTCAGGGGTAACACCCATAGTGTTTCTCCAGCACCCCTGAGACACCACCCCCAGTGGGCACAGCGCTCCAGGCCTTCTGCCTTCCCAGCCCCTGACCAAACCAAGTGGACCCATTCAAACCAGGAGGAACTGGGTCCCTTGAGTTCCCAGCACTGGGGGAGTATTCACAATCTCCACCGCACAATGAACTCTTCACTTTCCTTCCTACAGCAAGGAGCCCCATCATACCAGGCCAGCCATTCCTAGGACTGACCAACACCGCATTTCCCCTCCTGGAAACCGATAAGAACAGATAATACATTTTATCTCAGCCGAAAAGCGATAACATCCAGGTATAGCTCATACTTTACTTAAAGGAGAACTGTGGGGTTAAGTCTTTTTCCCATAGTTCTCCTTAGGGTAACGGGAGGACACAAACTAGCGTCCTCCCGTCACCCTAGGCTCAGTATAACGCGAGGTGTAGCTCGCCGTATACTGAGACGCCGCAGCTGAAGCAGATCCCGACAATTGTGCCGGGATCCGCCCAGCTGCGTGACTGACAGCTGGCTCTGCCTATCTAGAGGCAGAGCCAGCTGTACCCGCCCCCTCCCCCGTCCGATCCACCAGTCAGCGCTGGCGGATCGGAGCGGGGAGGGGGGAATCCAGCCCCGCTCCGCTCACCTCCCGATCTACTGAGCCGACCTGTTACAGTCTCATTGTCACAGGTCAGCTAGAACTATGAGGTGAGTGAAAAGCACTCACCTCATAGTTCTCCTTTATATTTCACTACACTTCTTGTCCGACAGCACAACAGGAAGTAAGAGAGAATCCCTCCAAAGTACACAAAATCCCTGGTGGTCAGCAGGGTCACCAGAACTAGTGTCCCCATTGGAAGATTTCCCATCTATTCCTGTTCTGATGACTACCCAAAATGTGGGATTTTATTTCACTGTCAGCAATAACAGTCACTAGGACAAATA